TCATAAACAACCGATTTTTAGACATTTCCAGTACATTGTATGATGATGAAATGATAAACTTATCTAATATGTCTGACTTATCGGCATAACTATGGGGAGTGGCCTACATAAGTTTATTAAAGATTCATAAAACAAATATTTTCCTGAAAATCTATATTCAGACAATTGCAAACATAAAGAAATTATAATTCTTTTATGACAAACGCCTCATGATTTATATGACTACAATATATGTTATTCTAGTCACTATGGTAACGTCTTTTTTAGCAAATAAGTCTGGTGATTTCACTTATCTACTATGGTACGAAAACGACATAGATGTGAGTATTGGTTAAATGTATTATTGTGGTGTGTGTTACTTATGTCGATAGACATAGGTAGTATGTAACACCAGTCGAAAGTGGAATGTCTGGCAGCAGAAGGTTGGAAAAATTGAATAGAAAATAACGGAATTAGAGAGTAATGGATATGGAAATTAAGGAACAATAAAGTCTGAGACAATTGATGGACATTCTATCAAATAACTCTGTAATTTTGTATTTAAATACAACTGGTTGTCCCCCACTAGTGTTCTCGTCCACTATATTATGATAATTATGTAATAATAATACTTATTACTATATTTGGATAGTATAATTAAAAGACGACGATTATCAGAACTGTGTGATGTATTAGCTCAATACATTTTGAACAATCTGATCACACATAATGTACTGTTTAAGAACATTTATATATAATAATAAAAGATCAACCAGACTAGAAATAGAGGGTAAGAGTAAACAAAGATAATTATTACATTACGGCTTTAATAACTGGATTACAAAGACACATCAGTCAATCCCAAGTTATATAAATAGATGTTCCTTGTGACTCTTTTGTTATACCATCATTTTATTAAGTTCTGATTATTTCCTTCTTCCTTTTCAAAATTATATAGTCTAATTAAATTAGATATTTGAAAGAGGTTGGAATGAAGACATAAATGTAGGCTATGTGAAACTTGATTGGTCGGATAAGGTACACCGTTTAAAATAAAAAGCATATCATGATTTACTAAGGAGAGGCTGGATAGTCTAACTATACTAGTACTCCTGATTGTTGCTCCCAATTTGAACATCTCTTAAGCTAACTTCTCTGGACGGAGTACATTCGATTACCATAAAAAAATAGGTCATTATTATATTTTCTTAATGCATTACAACCAGCACTGGTCTTAAATCTGTACCTTCACTCCAACGTTTTACAAACATTTTATATGAAGCAAAGTACATCATGGTAATAAGACTTTTAGTATAAAGTCTAGCATGTATAATGTAGACTAAGAAGAACAATTAACGCTATGATCTATTCAACATGACATCGGCTACTACCCCTGTGGTGTGCACCATTACTTATGCAAATATACATAGTTAGAATGTGGCATGAATTGGGAGTAGAATGCTTACCAGCAAAGCAGTGAAATAAGAAGAGGAAGGAAAACGAAGAGCAATGGGAATAACAACGGGGTCGGAAGAATGATGAAGTATGTAGAAAACAATTGAAGGGAGATATGTAGATGATGCATTTAATGTATGATTTTCATATTTTACGAACCTACTGTTTGATTTTGCACTAAAATGATAGATTGATTTACCGTACTTAAGTTTTCGTTCACTGAATTGATTACTCTTGTTACAACTTGTGTGGGAAATAGGCCGCCCACCAGCATTCTCTATCCAACTCTGTACTTGACGATCCTTTTCAGTTGTTTCCAGTTACTGCTCATTTTTTTGGTGTCTGCTGCTGATTCCCGTTTCCGTTTCACGATTCCAAGTTGGCGCTCGTTTCGTGATTCAGTTTGATTTCCATAATATATGTTCTATCCAATTCCAACGTCTTTTCTTAATTCCCACCTCAGTTGGAGGTTGGTTTGTACTCTCTTACAGTAGGCTATTACTGATGGTATTCGGCCAACTAACATTGAGTATCTTGAGTAGACAATCGTTTATAAATTTATGTTTTTTTTCAATGATGATTTTAGTAGTTCTTCAAGTTTAAGCTTCGTACAGTAGAACTGTCTTGACGTTTGTACTGAAGATGGTGACTTCGATATTGGTTGATAATTGTTTTCAGTTGCATATGTTGTTCAACTGTAGGAGTGCTGTCCTTACCAATCCTTTTCTTCACGTCTGCATCAGAACCTCCTTTCCACTATGTTGATAAAATAATGACCGACGTTGGGTTCTCAAACATTTAATTTAAATCTTAGATAGAGTATCAGTCCCTTAAAGATTATACGTACACCTTGTTGACTATTGCAATCTAGTATGATAACTGGATTCAGGATTTCCTACCGACCATTTCTAATTATGAGACCAATAAAAGTCTTCTTACAATTAGTAAAAATAATATCCACATAAATTTACATTTCTCCTGATTTGATTGTCTTTTGAAACACGTCTGAGTAAAAATATGTCCAATTATTATTTTGAACTGTAACCTTTTAGTACCTACGTGTGTTTAATGTTGGAAAATCAATAAAAATGTTTAAAACAATTGATTCACGACAATACATGTAAATTATTTCGTTTTTCAAGAGGGAGACATTCTGATCGACCGAATGTTTACGGTTAATCTTAATCGAATTATGTACAGCTATAAACGTTGTTTACCAATAGCATGAATATCTCTAAGATTATTTTTTACCACACCACGTTCAGGTGAGATCGGAGGTCTTGGGTTCCAGTCTCGCGTGCAGGATCATTGATGCATATTCCTGAGGACTCTCATAATAGGATGAAATGGCTGTCCAGTACTTCCAGGTTTTCAATAGTGATCTAACATTCTCTAGTTCATGATGTCAGTGAAATAATTGAAAAAATTATTGATAAGCATGGAATAGTATATATTCATTTTATTGAGATCATGAACTGGTTGATGTTAGACCACCATAGAAAACCTGGAAGCACTGGAAGGCCGTTTCGTCTAATTTTGGGACTTCTCACCAATGCGCATCCACGATCCCGCTCAAGGGATTCGAACCCAGAGCCTTCAGTCTCGCGCGCGAACGCTTAACCTACCGCTAAGCCAGCATCCAATCGTGTTAGTGTCTAACATCAGCCAATCCACGAAATTACGGGATCATCTTCCATTGTACTGAGGTAGATACCTGTCTCCACCCCACACGGATTAGCCCCACTGGTCACGGCTCCTCGCTAAAACTCCGAGAATTCTCTTACGAACCTAGTCACTAGTGAGCACACATGTTAATCATCAGTATAGAGGTTGCCTTTCAAAACCAATGTACACTTGTGACTCTAATATAGACCTAAACCCAGAGCCATTTATATTCTATGCAGAACACGATACTTTATGATCGCTTACTTTGAAACTTGTATTTCACAGTTTAAACTTTATTTAGTTCATTATTAACTGTAATTCATATTCAGTTGATAAAATTAACTATTGAAGTCAACATAAAATCATTTATCTAAAATTATTCATATTTATACGTTCTCTTATATCGAAATGAAATTCTGATTATCTCTACTTTCTATATGCTAAAACAGACAAATTTTTTCGTAAAAAAGAGTACACAGGGATTAGTAAATAGTTTTTTCCAAAACAGTATATGGTCATATTTAAGGTATAGTATAGATGTTCAAGAAATGAATACCTGTGTTATTCATTGTACTTTTTTTGATTTATTGAACTTATTTATTTTAAACCACTTCTATACAGAAAAAAAATTATAGATAGCAATTGACATATCAACTGATTGATTGATTAATGTACACGACTACTTTAATGTTATACATAGTTCATTTCAATATTGATATATACATATATAATGATTAGAAAGGAATTTGTGTTGAATCTACGTTCAATGTAGAATTACGCTAATTACAAAATATTGTTGTTATATCCGGACGAGAACAAATGAATGGCGACGGCTAGTAATTATTTATAAACTAATATGATACGAATATTCTTATGGTATGACTATTAACTAACTATATTATATGTATATTCATATTCCTTTCATTATAAGATTTTATTTGACTTATTGCTTAGTTATATGATTTACTATTTCCAAGTTATTCTCAATTTATTAGTCACAGTTTCTTACAAACACAGCCACATTTGGCTTGATTTTGTACCGATGTTATTTTCTATTTTATGGGTGATGCTGTATGATTTGTTTGTATATAAACCCAGTATGTTTGAAATATATGATTCGTATCGCGGAGACTGAGATTGGCGTTCTGAACTTAAGAGGCAGGGTTAAGCTGGAAAAGGGATAATATGAACTGTAGGCTGCCCATACTAGTGTATGCGTCATTATTTCGGTCGTATAAGCCAGTGTTTCAGAATTAGCAATCGTATTTCTCGATAATCATGTAGCTTAGGACGTAAAAATTATCTATAACCACTGAAGGAAGAAACTTGGCTGATTCTGTTATTCTAATCTACACAGTCTAGTATTATTTGAAGGAACTGTAACAAGGTTAATTTATTAATTAAGTAGGAAAATATAAATTTGTAAAATTTCAACGATTGAATTTTAAATAAATGCAACATTTTACTTGGTAATCGAGTTTAAGCTTTTTCTAGGAAAATCTAATCAAACATCAAAATTACCGAATATAAATGGTTCTCTGGTAAACTAAACACGTCATCCAATCATATTTTCAATGTTGAAAGTAAAAAATTTGTTCTAGTACATATGAGATATATGATGTGTAAAGAAAAGTGTGTTAAGATAACAGATTTCATGAACGTATGTCAGATTTATTGAAAATTCAAATGCTCAGATTTAACAATTATGTAATTTGTTTTCCTTCTTAGTGTCTTACATTCAGTCGGTGTCCAACCATTGTAAAGCTATTCGTTCCAAATTAGACGAAACTTCTTATATATGTAGGGTAAGTTATTGTCTCATTCAATTAAGCAATGTACCCTATCTTCGAACTTTTTAAAAGATTTCAACTTCATATAATCAAAAAATATAAATTACTTACTACTTTTTAAATTATTAATGTTGTTTGATTCCAATTGTACCAGTGATTGATGTGATAACAATGGAAAAATACCACCAGGCATTAAGATCAATTGTTTTTGTCCTGTATTATGTAATATATTAGTCTTTTCTGGGGCATATGTAATCCATTCATAAGTTTTACCTCTTTCTAATTTTGGCAGACATTGCTCATTATCATTATCAGCATTAATGTTAACTGGTATATCTCTAATAGATATATCATGTAAATCTCTTGATTTAATTTGATTCACATAAACTAATTCATTAATTTGAAGTTGATTAGATAAATTTCCAATTTGTGGTTGTTTTAAAATTTTGATTATTTTAACAAATGCATTTAAACCGATATAATCAACATTATCAGTAGTATGTTTTAATAATTCTGAAGGTTTATCTAATTGAATTATTTCCGCTTCAAAACGGTAAGTATTTTTTGAATTTGATAAAGCAATCAATTGTTCTCGACTTAAACAAATCCATGTAGCTGATAAAGTTGTATGATATGTACTGCTAATGATAGTTATAGTAATAATAACATTTATAATACTAATATATGATGATAGTGTCAATAATGAATGTTGTGAGAATAACATAATATATCCCTGATCTGTCATTATTATTCCGAATAGTCACTTTTGTTTAAATGTTTAAAGATTATGTTTACATTCCCCTTGTCATGATAAGTATTTAATTATGAATGAGAATAATACGTTATAATAATAATAATAACGACAATAATAGCAGTATTTCAGTAATCCAGTGGATATATTGTTTATAATCCGCGACTATAATTCTTCAGTCATTAAAATTAATTTTAATAATCAAAATAAGTAACAGAGAGAGAGGGAAGAAAAAAAGAAAAGTCAGTAACTGTTACTTTATTTTTCTTTAATTTAAATATTTGTTAAAGTATGTTTTCCTTCTAAAAAAGAAAAGTAAATTCTAATATGGAATTATTGGTTAATGGTCTGTAAACATCATAGAACATCGGTCAGTAGAATAGTAGTGAATTCATTTATTATAGAAACTAAATTGAACTGATGATTTTCATAATGATTGAGTACATTTGTTAAGAATTCACAATTAAAGAGAGAGAGAAATATATATATTTAATAAATATTAGATGTTCTTTTTTAAAGGTACATTGTTTTATTACTCAATATTATTTCAGTTAGACATATGTAAACATTCAAATATATCAAGACATACACTTACGTACATATATATATATATATATATATATATATATATATATATACTTACACACAGTTTGTTGATAGGTAGAAAGATTATTCAGGCTCAATACAACTAAACAATTAATATTATTATGAAAAATATTATGATTAAAAATATGTGGGTGTTTTAAGGCATACCTTAGCTTCCATTGACAAACAACATATTAACGGATCTGTAAGCGTATACAGATACACAAAATTTTATAAATGAAGAAAAATTGATTGTTTGAAAAGCACAGTACTCAAGTAAAGTGGTTTATATATATATATATATATATATATATATATATATATATATATATATATACTCTTTTAATAATTCACCGAAAATTCTATTCTACTACTAAGCTTATTCACAAATGATAAGAAATTCCAAGAGAATAGTAAACAATTACAGAATTTGATTAGAATTTTACATATATATATATATATATATATATATATATATATATATATATATATAAAGTTATTGTTTCTTTTCTAACGTTTATCACCAGGATTATGTGTAAGTCACAAGTTGGAATTTCAACAATGAATCAATTTCATAGTATTTCATTCATCATGATGTTCATTCATTTTGACACATAATCACCATTCTGCTCAGACGAATAAATGAAATATAGAAACATGTAGATTAATTTTATTATATAGGCATCGATACCATTACATATTTGTTACTTTACAACAGTTATTTCATAAATTTCATTGGTCAGTAAAATGGCTCTTAATAAGTATGAGTATGTTTATCTATGTGTATGTATGTATGTATGTATGTATGGATGGATGGATGTTTTTCAACAGTGTTTACATGTCATATTGTGTTTACTATTAAATGAATTATTATTATCATTAAATGAATTCTTAGTTAATTGATTATAGCTGAATGGAAATTATAAAGTGAATTCTCCACAGACATAAGTAAAAACAAAGAGAAAATTATTCGAATAAAAAACTTCATTGATTACCAATAACATCCATAATGTATTGCACCCAGTTAGTGAAGAGAAGAAAAGCTGGTTTAGATCTAAAATACTTGAAAATTTTGCTTTATTTAAGATAATAAAGGGAACCATGTGCATGAAATAATATTCATGTAGGTTCAATAGTTGAATTCATGAGTCACCTGAAGCTAGACCACCATGGAAAACCCGGAAGCACTGGACGGCCAGTTCGTCTGCTCTGCCGTCCAGTGCTTCCAGATTTTCCATGGTGCTCCAGCTTCAATTGACTCATGATCTCAACTATCGAAATTACTATAATCTCCACAAAACCCCTTCTGATACTATTCATGTAAGTGTTGATGTATGAAATACTCCAAAAAAAATAAATAAATCATGAACAACAGATGAATGGAATAAAGTCGGTACACCTGTACTTTAGACGTCTATATTAGTATAATGACAGAGAATACAGGTGATAACAACCAATTATATTTAGCACAAGAAATTACAGAGTTACTTGATAAAGCAGAAAAACCATGCTCTAAAACTTTGTTTATAGATTGTTTATTAATTGTCTCATACTTCATTGTTTCTGCATTTTCATACCAATTACTTTCTGTTCCCGTTCTTTCCTTATTGATCTTCTCAATCTTTTGCTGCCAGACATTCTATTCCTGACTCGCGTTTTATACTACTTATAACTATATAAGTAGCACACAGTACTATTTAAGTTTTGTTTTACATTATTTATAGTTAGGTAAATAAAATTCCGAACACTACCTAGAATTCTCACTTACTTAATATTTGAAACATTTTGAATTAGCTACAAATTGAAACCAGAATTATGTGTACATTTTCGATTTTGATAAATGTTTATATTTATACATATATTACGTAGGAGGTTTAAAAAGAATTTCTTAATATCCCAGTTAATATCATAAACTGATATAGATAAAAAACTATTCAAATCCTGGAAGCACTAGACAGTTACAACGTTTTAGTATAGAACTCCTCAGTAAAGAATACTCAAGATTCCACCATCTGGAATCGATTACAGGAATTTCAGTCTCCGATTTCATTGTAATTTTGATTAAACATACGTATAAATGATTGTATTTTCACTCAGTGATAAGCTTTGTCTATCACAGACCAACTATGTTCCTCTAGTCTTTCGGAAGTTTTTCTAATAAGATAGAAAGGAATTATGGAAAACATTTTTAGTTATTATCGATTCGTGTTATTTAGTTCAGTTTTCAAATAAGCATCTTTGTACTGCATCGCATTACATAGTCGTTTTCACAGGATAGATATTATCAAATAGATGGTGAAATGTTTCAGTGTATATCTATGTACAGTTTAATAAGAAGAAAACTGTAGAAAAATCCATAAAAATAAAAAAACGGAATGTTAGTAATTTCACCAATGATTCACTTAATAAATTAAATATTCTCCACGGTTATGTTCAGTGTATAAATTATGTCTGTTTTAAATCAAAATATGCAGAAGAAAAGAGTGAATGGCGTCATAAGAAATACGAGAATTTGAAATAGATAGGAAAATCACATTTTCGATCTTATGTTTTTAAATAGTAGTGCACTAATTGAGCAATACATTGATGTGTAGAAATGTATGTATTTGTATCACAGTAGACGTATATTTGTAAATATTTATTGAAAAGACGAATAGCAACAGTTGTACTAATGATAGACAACTGTTTTCTGTCTAGAAAAAGGGTATATATATATTCATGAATCATACTCATTACTATTTGTTGAGTGTAGGATCAAGTATTTGATTATCTGATTCGTCTAAGGTATCTCTAATGAACGTAAACACAGGTGGGGGACGACCAAATGCATCTTAATACAAAATTACAGAGTTATTTAGTAAAGTGTGGAAACCATACGTCCAATCCTTCATTTACAAAATATCCATTTATTGTTCTTTCAGTTTCATACCAATTACTCTCTGGTCCCATTCTATTCTTTTCAATCTTCCCAACCATTTGATGCCAGGTTTATCACTTATGACCGGTGTCAGATACTACTTATGTATGTTAACATAAGTAGCATACACCACATATCGATTTAATGTAAATTTCAGGAAGACATTTTTAAAGTTAGTTACGTTAAATCCAGACGAGTTTTTAGATTATTTCATCACTCTAACCAATAGTTAATATAGCGTGTTGATATCAGTTAGCTGTTTATACTGTAGTTTATATATTTTTTTTGAAGAAAAGCATATTATTATTTGCATTACACTATTATATTTAAAATATCAATAAGTACGGTGACCGCGATCACTGTTTGATATCTCAAATCTGAACATTATTTAAAGTATCAAATTAATCACAAATATGTTTTTATTATATCTCAATGGGTAAAAATTGTATTTCTGACGTTTCGCAACCTGATGTGAGCCACTTTTTCAGAGTAAAAGAAGTAGCTTACACTAAGCCTTGAAAAGTCAGAAGTATAATTTTTTCTACTCATTGAGATATAACAAAAATATATTTATTATTAATTCTCTACTCAATGCTCAATTTATTTGAAACTATCAAGTTCAACCTTGGTAACTATACTTATAAACTCATTATCAAAGTAATCATTTTTAAGAAATTTCAAGTTATGATTGAAATTGGTTATAAAATCACGAAAAGAAGCTCTCTTATATCAGATGTGACAGGTTGATTTGACTCATATAGAGAATAAAATAGGTGTGACTGGTGGTGCCAAGTGGTAATTCCTTGAGTGAGTTGATTTAATGATTTTACTACCGTGGTTGAAGTAAATAAGCTCAATTCCATACTTATATGTGTTCCTGGCGAAAACCCTTTCTAAAATGATCAGTCTTCATGAATTCTTGATCTTAAGTAAATGAAACAAAATTTCAAGAGGAAATGGTGGCAATTATTGATGGTTCGTTTTCATCATTCAAAAACGGGAAATGAAGAGAAATTATTTTTTACAAAAAAATAATATGAAAGTCAAAAATCTAAAACTCCAAACTGCTATAGAAATAATTCCTTAGGAAATGCTTTATTTTCATTAGGATGTTAGTATTCTTGAGTCGCATGAGAGCTGACTCCAGTTTGATCGTTTACTGATTGTTATCGAAATATACATGTCGCCAATCCTCGCATATAATCATCGAATAACGTAATTAAATAATTCAAATACAAGAATGGATTATTGAATACGTATATTTCGTACAAGCGTCGATCTGAAAGCGAAGCAAAACAGAGTGACAAGCAATGGAAAAGGAGAGTGAAACAACTCAATTTAACTAAGCGTGAATCGATATTTATAGTCTGATCAAACATAATTTACAGACACATAATGAGTAATGCAAGTAATTAGCACACATACGACCATATAAAAGCAGTTAGGATTAATAAGCGAATAAATGACACGGTAAAATTTTAGCACAAGAAGA